GGTGAGTTTGGTTTGCAATTGCATTCTTGATGCGGACAGTGGGTGGTCACATTCCCAGTTATTATTTTTATTACTATTATTATCATTATTATTAGTAGTAGTAGAAGTAATTTTATTGTTATAATTTTTTTGACTTTTTAAATTTTTTGTTTTGTTTTGTTTTGTTATTATTATTATTATTATTATTATTATTATTATTATTATTATTATTATTATGACTATTATTATATTCTTTTCTTTTCTTTTTTATTATTTAGTTATTATTATTGTTGTTGTTACTATTATTATTATTGGTTTTATTATTATTGTGAAGTCGCTCTCACTCTTAATATATATTCTTGCTCTGTTCTTTCCTTCATTTCCTGGTGGAATATATCGCCTCTTTCTTTCCCAGATATCTATAGCCTTCTCCCTGATCTATTCCTTCACATTTGCATTCTTTTCCCCTTTTAAGGACTAAAACTCCACATTTATCAATCTCAAAAGACATCCCTATATCCTCTCCGACTAACTTGGTTGTTCTCTTTGGTTGTTCTCATAAGTGAATTTATATCACTTTCACCGCTTCCATACAATTTCAGGTTATCCATAAATAGTAAATGGTTTAATCTAGGCTTTCCCTACTACTACTATTACTACTAGTAGTACTAGTACTAGTACTACTAGTACTACTACTACTACTACTATTACTACTAGTAGTACTAGTACTAGTACTACTAGTACTACTACTACTACTACTAGTACTACTACTACTACTAGTACTACTACTACTACTAGTACTAGTACTACTACTACTATTATTACTAGTACTACTACTATTATTACTACTACTAGTACTACTACTACTATTATTACTATTACTACTACTATTATTACTACTACTACTACTATTATTACTACTACTAGTACTACTACTACTAGTACTACTACTACTAGTACTACTACTACTAGTACTACTACTACTAGTACTAGTACTAGTACTACTAGTACTAGTACTACTAGTACTAGTACTACTAGTACTAGTACTACTAGTACTAGTACTACTACTAGTACTAGTACTACTACTACTAGTACTACTACTACTAGTACTACTACTACTACTAGTACTACTACTACTAGTACTACTACTACTAGTACTACTACTACTACTAGTACTACTACTACTACTAGTACTACTAGTACTACTAGTACTACTAGTACTACTACTACTACTAGTACTAGTACTACTACTACTACTACTACTACTACTACTGTTACTACTGTTACTACTACTACTACTACTGTTACTACTACTACTACTACTATTACTACTATTACTACTACTACTGCGACTGCTACAACTATTACTACTATTTTTTAATTATTATTAATATTTTTTTATCATTATGATTCTTACTATTGTGATTGTTATTACTTTTATAGTTATTATTATATTTGCTATTGTTTGTTTATTGGTAGAAACAGCATTTTATATATACATGTAGATAGATAGATAGATAGATAGATGTATATATGTATTTATATATATATAATTTTTTTCCTTCTTATTTTTTTTATTTACTTATTTTATTTACAGACAATCATACCCCCATTTATTGTTGTTATTATAATTCTTATTGATAATGTTGGTAGAGTGGTTTCACTTGTGAATAAATTACTGTGATATTAATTTGTTGTGCCATATCATTTGATGATTATAATTTACATGATATTTTACTGCCTATTGTTGTTGTTGTTGTTGTTGATATTGTCTTGTTGCCATGTGCTATTTATGGAGCTGTATTAATGGAGATTTCATATTCCAGAGCAAAGCCTGCTACTGGCTTCCCAGCACAGACCTCAGGTAAGGATGGAAATGACGTTATTTTTATGCGTCTTTGTGTATCACTAGAATATTCATACACATACATACACACACTTCAGAGTCAGAGTTATTTAGGTTAATTTTGTTTTGCGGTTCTCCCATTCGTATTGTGCTATGTTTTATTTATGGCCATGACTTGTTTGTGACTGTGCAGTATAAACATATATAAAACCTAATTCAATACACAGAGTTAAATGTTGTGTCTGATGCAGGGCTTCTTACTCTTTGACTAGGTTTTAAAAGTAGTGTTCTGTCAACATACAAATATTTGGGAAAGATATGGATATATTTTTATCTTAACATACATTGATATCTAATTTTAAGAGGAAAGACCTGTTGCTTTATATGTTTTGATTCATATGTATATATGTATTTTAAATACTGATGAAGGTTATGGATATTCATATATTTAAATCTCAGTTTCATTTTATTTTATTGAATGTTTTGGTTACATTTATGTATCCGGCTCTTACTTGTAACAGTAATATAATAATGATAGATAGATAGATAGATAGATAGATAGATAGATAGATAGATAGATAGATAGATAGATAGATAGATAGATAGATAGATAGATAGATAGATAGATAGATAGATAGATAGATAGATAGATAGATAGATAGATAGATAGATAGATAGATAGATAGATAGATAGATAGATAGATAGATAGATAGATAGATAGATAGATAGATAGATAGATAGATAGATAGATAGATAGATAGATAGATAGATAGATAGATAGATAGATAGATAGATAGATAGATAGATAGATAGATAGATAGATAGATAGATAGATAGATAGATAGATAGATAGATAGATAGATAGATAGATAGATAGATAGATAGATAGATAGATAGATAGATAGATAGATAGATAGATAGATAGATAGATAGATAGATAGATAGATAGATAGATAGATAGATAGATAGATAGATAGATAGATAGATAGATAGATAGATAGATAGATAGATAGATCTTTTATTGAATGTCTGTTTTCTTGTATTTGAAATATTCTAAATTGTAGCCTTTGAAATATGTTATATTATTGTCATTATATTAAGCTCTTTAAAATATTTATACTTATAGTCCATCTATTCCTTAGTTCTTAAAAAAATATATATAACAGTAATAATAATAATGATAATAATGATAATAATAATAATAATAATAATAATAGTAATAATAATAATAAAATTCTTACTCCATTTGTGTCCCCAAAGATGCCTCACAGCTTCAGCAGGGTGCCCTGGGGCAGCCCGACCCCTCACTGGCCCTCCACCTGGCCATCTGCACCCCCTCATACTTCAACAACGAGAGTGACGAGGTGCTGCGCAAGTGGAACCAGCTGCAGGCCTTCTGGGGCGCTGGAAAAGGTACAAGATTCGTCTAGTGCTCTTGGGCTAGGTTCAGTTGGGAGGAAGGCATGGAGCTGAAATGTTGAGAAAAAAAAAGAGGGAAATGAAAAGCTAGAAATTGAATAGTTTGAAAGTATAGATAGATGGAAGAATAGATTGTGACAGATGTAGGAAATTGAATAACTTCACAGCATGAGTGTTGTATCTGGCATATTTTGATTCTATCTTCAGAAAAACATGATGTAGACAAAACATGTCAGATACGTCTCTTGCTCTGCAGAGTTATTCATTCGTGTTTATGCTTTTTCTTGAGATGTATAAGCGAGAGAAATGATGATTATGGGAATGAAATGAAAGTTTGAAAATATTAAATGACAAGAGCTTAAAAAAAAAAATAATTGAAATAATAAATAAGAATAAATATATAAGCAATTAAATAAATGAAGGGGGGAGAGGACATAAGGAAATCAGAATATCAGATAAATAGGGAGGAATGAAGAAATGTCAGAATTATGTAGACAGTGAAAAAGGAAAGAAAAGTAACAGAAAAGTAAAGAACAGAAACAAAAAGAGGATTAAGAAGGAAATCTGCAAATAGAAAATGTGTAAATAAAGAAAAAGAGTGAGGAGATTCAGCCATCAATTTTCTGCAGTAAAAGATGGAGGAAAAGATCCTGAGAGACTGTAAGGGATGAAGAGGAAATTTGAGGTGGAATGAGGGTGGAAATGAAACAAATAATAAAAGTTAGTATAGAGCAGATACAAAAGCAGATATGGAAATCCCCAAGAAAGGAAGCAGCAAATGTCAAATACTTATGAAAGTTCTAGCAAAAATGAATTCAAAACTGACAGGCATGGCATGTATGTACATGCCATACCCTCTTTGAGTTTACTTTATTAAGTGTTTTTACACACAGATGACTCCACTTGCGCTAAGTCACCAATGAGCCCATTACGAGTACTGCCTATTTTACCTGTTTACCCTTTTCCTTGATATTTGAAAATATTTTGTTATCTTATATTGTCACTACTAATGTCAATAACATTATAGTAATTATAATGTCTATAATAAAAATAACACTGTCGATACTGATAGCATTAGCAAAAAAAAAAAAAAAAAAAAAAAAAAAAAAAAAAAAAAAAAAAAAAAAAAAAAAAAAAAAAAAAAATCCTGCAAATTCAAGGAAAGATGAAATTACATAAAGTCACAAGGTCTACAGATTGACTCCTTTGTGGCTAAGCACTAGCAGAGCCATCTATGTGGAGATGTTTCACAAAAAAATAAAAAAATGAGCACAGCATTTTCCCAGCGACATTCAGTTAAAAGAGGGTGAAAAAAGTAGGTCTCAATAGAAAGTAGGAATTCACAAAAGACTGAACTGAAAGGGTCTACACATAATAATATAAAACTAGCTCTAAGAAGTCCCTCCATCCCCCTTTCCGCCCCAGGCTATTACGCCCCAAACATGCCCCCGGTGGAGTTCACGCCCGAAAACCCTTACTGCCGCTTCAAGGCCGTCTGTTATGCGCGCATCCCAGACTACCGCAATGAGGACGGCCACGTTCAGGTCAACATCGGGAAGCCGCTGTCCGAAGTGGAGTGAGTGGTTGCTCTGCGGTTTCTGTTGTTTAGTGTTGCATTGTTTTGGTATTGTCATTATTGCTATTATTGTTATGACTGTTATTAGTGTTATCATAGTAGTAGTAATAATAGTAATAGTATAAGTGTTTATATTATACCATCTATTTATTCCTTTTTAAATCATGATGATAATGATAATTATTTTTCTTTCTTATTATTATTGTTATCAATATGACAGTGATGATAAAGTTATTGTTATCATAAATGTTTAACTTGTTTATTGTTTATGATTAAATGAGTTATTATTTTTTCAGCTTTCTGTTTCTCTACTAATTATTTTTCATAATATGATTATATGTTTCCTTGTTTATGATTTTATTTTTTATTTTTATGATTATTTTTTGACCATTCAATTTACCCCAAGACCTTTTCACATTCCCCTATGTGTATACAAATTTATATCTCTGCTTTTCTTTCCCATATACATCTGACCCCTTGTGCTTCTTGACTATTTTAAACCTGTATCTTTCATATACACAATTCAAACCTTTTGCTTTTTTGTTGTGCTTAAATTAATGCTTAATGTATTGCTGCCGGGGAAAATGAATAAGAAATGGGGAAAATGCTGTGCTCATTTTTTATATTTTAGTGAAATGTGTCTGCACATAGATGGCTCTGCTGGTGCTCAGCCACAAAGGAGTCAGTTAGGAGATCTTGTGACCCTCATTTCTGCTTTCCGCGAATTGGCGGGAAAAAACGTATTTTTTAGTAGTGCTATAAATGATGATGGTGTTATTTTTATCATAAACATTATAATTTCTATAATGTTATAAACATTAGTAACAACAAAATAATATAATGTAAAATATTTATGTAAATCAAAAGGGTAAACGGGAGAGACAGGCAGTACTTGTAACTGACTCATAGGTGATTTAGTACAAGTGTAGCCATCTATGTGTAAAAACAATTAAACAAGTAAATTCACGGCTGGCATGGCATGGAAGTACATGCCGTGCCTGTTGGCATGGCAATCTTGCTACTCATTCTACCCTTCATGCTTTGCTCTTACAATCCTGCTGTTTCTAGGCATGTCGACCAGTCTTTGTCTCTGCAGTACTTAGCTTAACCCTCATTTACAGGCAGCACAAACAGCAGATCGTGACAACCCTGACGACACTGTTCAACGGGGCGGAGGTGGTGGTGGAGGCGGTGTTTGCTGCAAAAGGCCCCAATCAGACCGTCCTTCACATGCACGTCTTGCAGCCGCTTCCAAATGGTCAATTTTACATGGTTTTTTATATACGTTTTTAATATTATTAATATATCACATTTTTATTGTTAGTGATGGTTAACATATAACTATTGTTCCATTTTGTTCATATTTTAATTTTTTTTCTTTTCTTTATTTATTTCCAATGATATAAGGATTTTTCACTGACTAGAAACCTGCCTCTGGGAATGAAAAGAGAAACTTATTTGCCGCATGCGCTCAGAAGAGTGGAAACCTTGTGCCATTTATGGAAATATACTGGTAATTTAACGAATTGAGTGGCCTTATGTGATGACATTCATTTCTCAACTCAGGTGGGAAACAGAAAGCGCCATCGTCGGATGTGTATCGTCACATGGCAGCCCCGACCAGTGCAGAAACTGTTAAGGTATGGAGAATTGAGCTTGAAAGGATGTTCTTGTTGCAGAGTGCTTGCAGGATTCAAACATTTCAAACTTATAGACTGCCAGTAGACTAGCTTTTACTAGAATTTAAATGTAGAGGAAATAAGTTGTCATAGATGTAATTTGTAGATGTAAAAACAGTATATAGTAGATAATATTGTGGAATAGATTTCAAATACTGGAAAACTTCCTTTGAATAAGATTTCAGTTCTTTTTATGAATGTTGAAGGATAAATCATATCAAATTTTATTTACCAGATATTACATTGTATTTCTTGTTTTATGAATTGTTATAATTAAATCAATTATTAATTATTTGAAAAATTCTATCAACACAAATACTTTTAAAAATAACACATAATTAATTATATAGATTTTATATCTTGTAGTTCATGGCAGTATTGAAGTATCTAATAACCTCAGTAAATTTTCTTTTTCCTCTCCTCAGAACTTGTGCATTCAGGATGTGATCCCATTAGTCTCATTAACTGAGAAGCAGATGAAGGAATATCTTGACACTCCACAGAGAGGTGAGACTGGGGAGAGGAGGAAGTAGAAGAAAAGAAGGACAAAGGAAATGATAGAAAGGGAAGAAAGGGAAAGATGCAGGATGTAAGAAATAGGTTAATTGGATAAAAGGTATGGGAAAGGGATAAGTAGGATAAATAAGAAGTGTAAGAGAGGAAGATGAATGGATTGGAATTATTTATTGAATCATTTATGGATGTAAGGAGGCAGGGCAGAAAAAATGGAACTGTAGAGCAGAGATATGAAAGATAGATTTTAAGAGTTAAAATTCAACTGACAGTCAATGGCAAGAAAGCCTGTAACTAAATATTCATATTACATTCTGATACGGTAATGCAAGCCTTTGTTGACTGAGTATGAAATACAAGTATTACTGATGAAGATATAGTTGAAAGCAGCTAATTACATTGTATTGTAAAGATATTCATTCCCATTCATACAATTCTACATTTGTCACCTTGACTACGGTTCAGGTAGATAGTTATAGATAGAAAT